AGTCGGGGCGCCGGATTCTGTCCCGATTGCCCCTTTTCCAGGCCAGCTCTCTGCTCTGGCCCGGGAGTGCAGTGGAGGATGGCCTAAGTTTTTGGGCCCTGCACCTGCATGGGAGACCAGGAGAAGCACCTGGCTCCTGGCTTCGGATCAGCACGGTGCGCCAGCCGCAGCGCACCGACCACAGCGGCCACTGGAGGGTGAACCAACGGCAAAGGAAGACCTTTCTCTCTGTCTCTCTCTCTCACTGTCCACTCTGCCTGTCAAAAAAAAAAGAAAAAAGAAAAAAAAAGAAAAAAAAGAAAAGCCTTTGATTCCTAAAGCACAGTCAAGAATGTACACGCAAAATTATTAGTTTTGAAACGCTATATGTGTGTGTGTGTGTGAAGTCAGCAATTTAAAAAAATTACTGAAAAAGAAGCTGGGAATCAAATCCAATACTCATTGCTGATGACATCATTCGCTATCTTGTGTTTCCAGGTTCAACCCACAAACTCATGGGAAGAGGCCAACTATTAATTTGCCCCTGGCATGGGACAGAATATAAACTTGCAGTGTTGATGCACGTGCCTTGTTCCAGTTGCCAAGCTCTGTGTCTGTGTGGAAGCATCTTCTCCCACTGAGGCACTCCCAGCTGACTTTTTTTTTTTTTTTTTAATTTGACAGACAGAGTTAGACAGTGAGAGAGAGAGACAAAGGTCTTCCTTCCGTTGGTTCACCCCCAAATGGCCGCTATGGCCGGCGCGCTGCGCTGATCCAAAGCCAGGAGCCAGGTGCTTCTTCCTGGTCTCAGACACTGGTGCAGGGCCCAAGCACTTGGGCCATCCTCTACTGCCCTCCCGGGCCACAGCAGAGAGCTGGACTGGAAGAGGAGCAACCAGGACTAGAACCCGGCGCCCATATGGGATGCTGGCACCACAGGCGGAGGATTAACCAAGTGAGCCACGGTACCGGCCCCACTCCCAGATGACTTTAAGTACTTACTGTCAACCACACAGTGCTTCCTATTGCAAACTCTGATTTCTTTCTTTCTTTTTTTAAGATTCATTCATTTTATTTTAAAGTCAGAGTTAGAGAGAGAGAGAGAGAGAGAGAGAGAGATCTTTCACTGGGTGGTTCATTCCCCAAATGGCTGCAATGGCCTGGGCTGTTCCAGGCCAAAGCCAGGAGCCAAGAGCTTCTTCCAATTCTCCCACATGTATGGCAGAGGCCCAAGTCCTTGGGTCATCTTCTGCTGCTTTTCCCAAGCCATTAGCAGGGAGCTGGACAAGTGGAGCAGCTGAGACTTGAACCAGTGCCCCAATGGGATGCTAGCATTGCAGGCAGCAGCTTTCCTCGCTATGCCACATTGGTGAGCCCACAAACTGGATTTTTCAAAATGCTACAGAGACAAGCCCAGGAAACTTGGAGACTCTGGATCTCCCAGTACATGGCTGCCACTCCGCTGCAACCCACGACAGGTGGAAAGTACCCCAGAATCAGACACGCGCAGCTATGCTGAGGCTGCATGTGGAGTCTGGTGACAACAGCCACCTCCCTCATCGTGTGCCGCTGTCTGGAGTCATTCCCGGAGACCCTGTTACAGGAGAGGGCACACAACGAGGCCCTTCGGGTTCCCTGGGACAGCAAGATGGCGGCTTCTGGGAAAGAAAAGGGCTCCATTTAGGACATTGTCCCTGTCGGCCTGAAGGCACCATGACAGCCCCAGGCCAGACTCAGCCTCAGCTTCCCAGGGTGCCCCCAGAGGCAGGAGAGAATTTAGGACATGGTGGTTAGAACAAAACGAACACCAGTGATTAACCTTAAAGTAAAAACATGGCTTCCCTTGCTTGCAAAGACTTTTCTTTTGATTCATCTCAGTCCATTTGAAGACTAAAACCACAAAAGCCTGTCTGATTTCTTGTTCACCTGTCATCCCCCATTCCCACTTGTGTTCAGGCCTCTCACCCCCATTTAGAGTTTCTAGGTGGAAGGCTTGTCTGCACTAACCAGATGATTCTCCTTCAACTGACCTTGTCACTCAAAAGTCCTAAGTCATTTCAAACCAGGTTTGCATCTGCAAAAGAATGAGAGGCAGAGAGAAATCGGATTCTTTTGCATCTGCACTGTTTTCCCATTAAACTGCCTGAAGTCTTGCGTGAGAATTAAGAGTCCACACTTCCGGCCTGCAGGTTTTTGTTTCTTTCCTAAGCTGCAGCACTCATCCGCCAGTCTCTGCCGTACAGCCTCGCCGCCAACAGACACGGGTGACCCAGCGGCTCCGCGGGGTCCATCACTCCCAGCAGGTGTGAGAAGGAAGCTGCTTTATGGGGGAGTCTGCCTCTCCTGCCCAGGCCACCAAGCACAGGAAACAGGAGCATCTAGACCAAGAGGTGTCCCAGGAACACCCAGCGCAGTATACAGGGGACACAGGAGCTTCTGCCAGACACGACCACAGGAGAGCCTGGTCCTTCTTAACATCTGTTTGTTTTTTTTTTCCTTCCAAACGAGAGTCAGAGGATCATGGGCAAACTAGAAACTGGCTATCCTCCTCCACGACGGTCAGGAAAGCCAACGGATCTCCTTTCTAGCACTGCTCCGTGCTCTGCCCTGCATGCAGCAGGCCCTGACTCCGGAGTTCTGAGGGTGCAGCACTCACGCACGAAGATGCTCACTGAAAACAGAACCCATTGCACAGGTGGCCCTGTGGGTAGAGGGCAACTGAAGTGCCCATGCTGTACTGGTTGGGGTGCAACCCCTGGGACCTGTGAGATCTGCAGACTCCCTGGGGCTCCTGGCACCCTCCTGAGTTCTACAATTAAAAGTCAGGGAGCCCACAGTGTGCCCCTGCCCTCTTACCTCTTCACTGGTGAGATGTGAAAATTCAAAAGATACTGCCGGTTGTGCTTGAAAGATGAAAACGCTTCCCTAAGTGAAAGTACACTCCTCTGATGTTTTAAAACAGTACAAGACGCTCTTTCATCCTGTGCTCCCTTAAACTAACTGTGCCTGCTAAATGTTTCTCTAAAAGTGCCAAAAATAAGAACTTTTGTATCTTCTTGTTTGGCTTGTGTTTCAAATGCTGGAATTCAGAACCTCTGAATGTCCCACCTGGTTTAAGCTGCATATAATCCAAACGCTTTAGCATAACAAACCCCGCCCCAACCCTCGGATCTCAACTCAGATGCTAATTAAAACCCATCCTGAGTCGTGCTGCTATGGTTACTGGGATTTCTCCAAGACCCTGGTGTCTTCAATGAGAAAGTTCTGTTGCTTCTCCCAGGCTCAGGGAGCGCCCCTGTATGGGTCAGGGCAGTTCCTACCGTGTGGCACTGTGGATGCCACCGTCGGCATCTCCTGGGGGCTCCTGCCTACCTAGCAAGCAACTTCTGTGTTGGATTCTGTAATTCATCTCATTGGAGTCTTCGAACAGCAGGATGCTATAAAAGTATCAGTATCTCTCCACTTCAAGATAAGAGTAGCCTGGAGACTCAGCCGCAGTCAGCAGCTTGCTCAAGGTCACATAGCCTGTCCGTGAACTTGGTTTTCGGACACCGAAGCCTGTGTTTTCCACTAACCCACCCGGGACTGAGGCCCACAGACGCGTGGCTTGTATTTTGCTCTGACACTCTGTTCCCTGCCTGTGTCGGCGGATGTGTGCCCTGCACTCAGGAGCCCAGACTTTGGAGCTGGAGTGTGGGGTGCAGCTGTAACCTCAGGCACGGCATAGGATAGCATGGCATGGCAGCTCCCTACCTCTGTTTTGCCATCTGTGAATTGGGGCTGTAATTCCTACCTCCCAGGACAGTTCTGAAGATCAAATAAGTCAATACATCTCTAACACCCTTAAACCCAAGCCGTGAAAAAAATGAGAGCTCATCGTAGCAGCCGAATTCCTGTAGCCAGAAGCCAGATAGAATCTGCCATCACCCGGGCTGCTTTGCAGAAGATGCCTGTTTTGCACGGTCAGAGACCAGCACAAAACCCGAGCAATGCCGTGGTCATGAGAGCAAGGCGCTGCAAGATCACATCACAGCCTGTGCCGCCTTGATGTTCAAAGTCAAGTGTCACTGCGGCTTCTCTCTGCATGCAATTCCCTTGCTTCTGACGCCAGCCTAGAGGCAGGCAGTGGAGACAACCGGTGCAAATGACATGCCTGCACAGCCGTTCTGAAAGCCTTTTTTCTGAAAATCAGCAGGTTTCTTCTTTCCCTGATAAAAATCAGTTTTGCTCTAATGGAGGGAAATTTTTTTTCCTAGAATTTAAACTCTACACACAGCTCAATGGCTTTAAAAAAAAAAGGCATTTATTTTTCTAGAGCCTTTGAAAGTTACTTTAAACTGGCAGGAGATAGCAGTGAAATGGTGGGGAAAGCTGTGAGTTTCAGCATGCTAACGTGAAACTATTTTTCCCTTTCAAAACCCACATCTGAGGGTTACTAACCACGTGCAAAGTTCCCTCTTTTCTGCTTTTTGGCCCAAAGGCCTAATTGGCATCCTGGTAACAGCTGATCGAGCACACATTTGGCTCTGCCAGTTTGCCTCCCCAAATTCTGAGGCCTGACTTCCGTTAGCCCTCTTAGGCGTGTTTAAACAAACGAAAAATTTCACGGTTTTCCTTGAAAAACCCTGCTGAAGACTTCAGAGAGATGGAGGAAAAAAACAAAAGACCAGATTATAAAAAGATGGGCAGCAAGAAAGAATGACAGTGTGTGTTGGTTTGTGCACTGAGTTCAAGTGCAAGCCGCCACTCCCGCTCTCTGCAGGCTGCCTGGGGGCCGGCGGGAAGGCACAGGGCCTGGCGTGCAGGGCCTGCAGACCCCGGGAGAGGCAGCCAGGTCCTTCGTCCCACAGACTGGTGAGGGGGCACTTCAAAAAGTCCATGGAAAGGGGGATTCAAAGGTAAGTCTGTTACAGTGCAAACATTTTTTGAACCAAACCTTTTGATGCCATTTCCCAAGAACTTGCTGAAATATCCTGTATGTCTGTTTTTCTCCTTGTGTTCACACACACGGGGGTACTCACCTGGACTTCGGGGGCGGGGGAGGAGGCGAGAAAGTCTCCATCCTACTCCTGTCCTTGGGAAACTCAAAGGCAAAAGAAGCCGACTTGCTCATGCCCGTGCTGGCTTTGCCGTGCTGCCCGGAGGAGGAGGAGCCGTCGGTGGGGTGCACCCGGTGCCAGGTGGAGGCGCTGGAAGGGGCCATGGGGCCATTTTCCGTCTCTCTTCCCCAGCTGTGACTCAGCAATTCCTGCTCTGCCTCCTCCTCTTCCTCTATCCGGCACTGGCGACTCCAAGCACCTGGCTGGTACCTGGGCCGCCTCTGGTCCACGGCTGAGGGGGTGGCAGCAGGTGGCGGGCACCTGACAGGGTCACTGGCAGCAGCACCATTGGTCCGACAGGAAGGAGTAGGCTCAGCAGGGCCTCTGGACACAGGTGCGGGCCCCAGGCTGCCCTCCCCGAGGTCCGCCAGCGGGGAGGGGGATGATGACACGGGGGACCCCCCAGGGCTACTCTTGGACAGCTTGGGGGGGATGGCAGGCCTCCCTTTGAGCCCGCTTTCGCTGGTATCGTGTGCATGGCCTTCCCTGGAGCTCAGGCATTGCCTGGCTGAAGTCTCGTCCTGGCCCACATCGGAGTCCTGACTGCCATGCCCCCGCGGCCACTGCACACCCACTGCCGAGTCCGGGCTGCTCAGATAGATGGTCCGGTGGTCCTCTTCGGGGTGGGTTGCCATGACCGTGATGGTGGCACCCACCTGCGGAGCCATGTCCGAGCCTTCCCTGTCCTGGCTCCAGCCCGCTGCTACTTTGTGAGCCCTGGCCTCACTGGTCCACACCTGGCCCTGGGCGGCTGCTGTCTGCTCTGCCTTGGCCTGGGATCGCGGAGGGCCTGGCGGGGCCTTCTTCCTCTTGGTGCTCTCAGCATAGATGGGCTCAGGCAGCACGGCCTCCCTGGGCTGGGGCTCCCCCGCAGGCCCCAGGCACCTGCTGGGGGTCACGTGGCAGCCGCCTGAGTCCTGGTGCTTCGCGGGGGCGGGGTCCTTCACCAGGGAACAGTAATCGCTGTCAAGGTGGGGAGCGAAGGGGCTGCTGGTGCCACTGCTGCGGCTGCAGCAGGAGAGGCCATCGGAGGAGCTGGCGGCCTCTGAGGTGAGCGAAGGCTTCTTGGGGCCCAGGCGGGGCGGGTAGGCAGCGGGGCCAGGGCTGCCGCTCAGGGCCCGCCTCTCCTCGGCAGCGGTGGGCTCCCAGCGCGGGGGCGAGCAGTCCCCTCCGGCAGGCAAGGCGCCCTGGGCCGCGGGGCTGCCAGGGCAGCAGTCCAGGATGGAGCAGTACTCGCCGCCCTCGCTGTCCCCGGACGGCGAGCACCTCTGGTCGCTGTCGTCCTCGGAGGGCAGCGACCCCCTCGGCGGGGGCGAGGGGCAGGGCCGGGGGCCGCGGGGCCCGCCCGAGCTCAGACCCGCGAAGGCCGCCAGTTTCTGGCGGAAGCTCTCCTGGGCCGAGGGCAGCTCAGCTTTCTCCTCCCGGCCCACCTTGTCGTCCGGGAAGCTCACGGGGTGGAAGGCCGGGCTCCTGTCCCCCCGGGTCTCTAGGCTGTGCAGGCCGACCACGGCGTAGGCAGGTGGGCAGCGGGGGCCGCCCTCGGCGGAGGCGCAGGGGCCGACGGGCTTCGGGACGCCGCGGAAGCTGCCCAGGTACACGACAGGCACGTCTTCCTGCTTGGGCAGGGGCAGCTTGCCGGGGGCTCGTCTCCAGATGACCTGTGCGGCCCGGGGGTTAAAAGACTGGCGTTAGAGAGAGCAGGAGGCCGAGAGGCGAGGCGAGAGGGAAGTGGCCGGCGGGTCAGCTAGGCAGCAGGTGGCACACACACGGCGCACACACACCCTCTGGTCCCCACGCTGCACCCAGGCGGCCGGTCATCTTCCCAGACACTGCACTCTGCTTCCCTCCCAGGGTCTGTCATGCTTTGGGCTGAAGTTTGTAGGATGGGGGTTGGGGAGGGGAACACCACAACCCAAAATAGCCATTTTGCCTTTTTTGCTTGCAGGTGGCAGGTAAACTAAGTTCCCAAATATTTGGGTTGGAGCCACCTTGTGGCATAGCAGGATTCCCATATGGGCACTGGGTTCCAGTTCCGGCTGCTCCAGTTCCCATCGTGCTCCCTGCTGGTGGCCTGGGAAAGCAGCAGGCCACAGTCCTTGGGTCCCTGCCACCCACCTGGGAGACCTGGATGAGGCTCCTGGCTTCACACTGGCTGTGTGGTGTTTAATTTTTGCTTTGCATTCATGGTTGGTTTGTTTGTTTTTGATAAGCTTGTCACTGTGCACTCCTGAAGAAACCAAAGCTCTTAAAGAGTTTAAAACCCTTGGGTACCAGGCTGGCGCTGTGGCACAGCAGTTTAACGCCCTGGCCTGAAGTGCTGGCATCCCATATGGCTGCTGGTTCAAGTCCTGGCTGCTCCACTTCCTATCCAGCTCTCTGCTGTGGCCTGGGAAATCAGTAGAAGATGGCCCAAGTCTTTGGGCTCCTGCACCCATGTGGCAGACCTGGAAGAAGCTCCTGGCTCCTGGCTTCAGATCGGCACAGCTCCAGCCATTGCAGCCAGTTGGGGAGTGAACCAGCAGATGGAAGACCTCTCTCTCTCTCTCTCTGCCTCTCCTCTCTGTTTAACTCTGACTTTCAAATAAATAAATAAATCTTTAAAAAAAAAAAAAAAAAACCCTTGAGTGGGTGGCAGGGACAAGGCAGGAGGCTGAGGGGTGGTCGCTGAGGGGCCTCCGGGCTTTCTGGCGTCTTGCTGGGCTTTGCTGCCCACCACACCAACAAGCTGCTCTTTCTCCCAGCTACAGCTGCCATCTGGGCCAGAGCCGCGGGTGGACCAGCTGGCCTGCCCGACTGACTGTGGTTACCATCCCTGAAGGCACAGTTCCACTCCTTTCCCTTCTCCAGTCCTCACCCAGCCCCAAGGCTGGAAGCAGCCTGGGAGGAAGGCCTGCCTCTGGCTGCTTTCTCAGAGATTCTCAACTTGAACTTGGTGTGACAGTTCAAAGTGCCGAGAATGGCCTGGTGGCTGGGTGTGACCAGCTTGGGACAATCCCGGCGGGCCTGAAAGGGACGTGGGGCTCACAGGAAATGCCTTTCCTCAATGAGGTGTCCCCTGGTTGGAAAGTGACCTTTGTTTCCACACGACTCAACACACCCTTCCTGGCCTGCTCACCACCAGGGAAAACCAGCTCAGGCAAAGAGGCCCAACAGGCAGCCAGCAGAAATTTTAAAACTTTTTTCAAAAAGCTAAAGAAATTGTTGGGGCTGGCTATTGGGGTACGGCGGGTTGAAGCTCCACCTAGAACAGCAGCACCCATATCAGAGTGCTGGCTGGAGACCCAGCTGTTCCACTTCTGATCTAGCTTTCTGGTAAGGCACCCAGGGAAAGCAGAGGAAAGTGGCCCCTGCCGCCCATATGGGAGACCCTGATGGAGTTTCAGGGTCCTGCCTCTGGCCTGGCCCAGCCCTGGCTTATTGCAGCCATTGGGGGAATGAACCAGTAGAGGGAAGATCTCTTTCTCTCTATCTGCCCCCCCTCCCCACCTCACTCTGCTTTCAAATAATTAAATAAAACTTTTAAAAGAAATAAAATTGGCATTGTACAATATGCAAATGAAGAGTAAAAGTCTTGCTAGTAATTTTTTAAAAGCTTCACTTGTCTTCCCCTCCAGCGTCTTCAAATCACAGGAGGAAATTCTGAAGGGCTGGATTAATGGTTCTTAGCCTGGAGGGGTCAGCAGAAAGGCAGGCAGCTCCAGCCACACGCTGCAGTCGGGAAAGGGCCACCGAGGGGCCAGCCCTGCAGGATTCCTGCTCCGACAGCCCTCCCTGGCTGCCAGCCAGTCACCCAGTGTTGGAACAGGAGCAGCCCCTGGAAAAATGCCACAGAAGTTAGTCAGCCTCACCTGCGAGACCTCGGTGCTCACGCCGGCCTCTGTCCACACGTCGGGGGCCTCCGAGCTCATCATGGTGGGCTTCACAGCGATCGTGGGCTTGGAGTAGGGCGAGCTGCTCACGCCGTCATCTTCCAGGCGGCCGTTGTCGGGCCTGGGGGGCAGGCTGCCTGCTCGGGGCTGGGGCCTGCCGGCCGCCAGCTGATGGTCACTCCGCAGGCAGAAGCAGTTCTTGCAGGACCCGGGCTTCCAGATGTGTTCCACAAAGTCACTGCACGCTGACATCTTCAAGGGCTCAGGGTTCAGTCGGATGGACTGCTGCATCGTGGGCCCTCAGGGTGCCGTGTCATCTTGTGCCCGGCTTGCTCTTGTAGTCTTGCGGGTGGCAGGGGTGGGGCCAAGAATGACTTCCTGGAAAGACAGAACGCTCGCCCGATTAGACCTGCCCAACCCAGGGCCGCTGTGTGAGCAGTGAGAGTCTGGAAGGGAAGGAAGGAGTTAAGGAGGCGGCAAAAGGTAAAGACAGGCATCCTTACTCATTCGTACAAAGCTCTCAGACGCTAGCTACTGGTGTGGCTTTATCAGCTCTATAAAAATGAAACAGGCCCACTAACATGGAGCACACATGAAAGCCATGAGGCTAAGTCTCCCAGAATCCTGGGCACTTGGAGGTTTCGGGGCCCCTCCAGGAAGGAATCACACAGAGCTTGAGTTGAGAAGCCTGTGCCTTGCCCATGTATTTATTCCCTGCCGCTGGCAGTGCAGGTCCTGGGACACTGGCCACAGAGACACGAGAACTCCAAAGCAGCATGGCAAATCAGAACAGTGATTTGATCATGCCTGAAAATCAGTTGTGAGAGTGGAGGTGGCACTGGAATCCGCCGCCCTGAGCAGGTGCAGCTGGAGATGGTGTGGTGCTGATCTGACCCCCAGAGCAGACTTGCCAGGAGGTCTGCTATCTTGGGGACAAACCCTCGCCTTCCACACACACAGAGCATACTGTGTGTCCTTCAACCCTGGGCTGAGTGAGGTCAACACAGCTCAGGGCCCGCTGGCCTGGCTAAGGATTATCAAGGTTTTGTCCATCAGTAACTCTGGAGAGGCCATCAACCTGAAGAGTTCACTGCTCTGACAGTGAAGCTGAAGACAGACAGTTTGCACCATCGGAGAAGAGCTCAAAGGGGTGGGACTACTACCTAATTAACCCCAATAACATCCATCCAGTCACTGTTATCCCCATTCTATGGATGGGCAAACTAGGGTACAGGCACAAACTAAGGCCTAGGAGCCAGCACTGTTGTACAACAGGTTAAGTGCTGCTTGCAACGCAGCATCCCAGATCAGAGTGAAGTCAAACCCCAGCAGCCTGGCTTCCAACCCTGATTCATCTAATGCACCTGGGAAGGCAGCGGAGGATGGCCCAAGTCCCCCCTGCCACCCATGTGGAGACCTAGATGAAGCTCCTGGCTCCTGGCTTCAGCCTGGCCCAACAGCCTTACTGTTGCAGTCATTTGGGGAGTAAACCAGCGGATGGAAGATGCTTTTCTGTCTGTCCCTCTCTCTCTGTCACTCTGCATGTCACATAAATAAATAAATCTTTAAAAAAAGAAAACCTAAGACCTGTCCAGGGACACAGAAGGTTTGCAGTTCTGGAGAGACAGCCCGGCTGTGACGGCAGCCCTGCACTTTGCCACGGCAGTGGTGAGGCCGTGCAGTTGGCCAGCGGCTTAGAACGCATGGGCTTCCTGGCAGCAGAGGGTGCCTGAGAACATCTCCTGGAGCCCCTCTGCGGAGCGGATTCTCACCACACAGACAAGGTTAGGCCCCAGGGCTGGCTGAGCTCCCAGGAGAATCTCCTTGAGGTTGAAACTCTCTACATCATCAACAGGACTAACCAGGTGGCCTGTGCCAGGAGCTCCTGAGATCCTTCCTGTCTCTGGGAAGCGCTCCCTGTCTTGTCTCCCACACACACAAGGGCACTCATGCATCAGGTTCAGGCCCACAGGGTGCCCCTTTGCCCTCCAAAGTCACCGAGGAAACCTACAGAATCTCAATGCAGACAGGACACTAGGGAATAAAAGCAAAACATTTGTCTTTTGGCAATCACCATTCAGGCCTTATGGATCCCTTTCTTTCTTTTTAAGATTATTTATTTATTTGAAAGGCAGTTACAGGGGTTGGCGCTGTGGTGCAGTGGGTTAACGCCCTTGCCTGAAGTGCTGGCATCCCATATGGACGCCGGTTCGAGTCCCGGCTGCTCCTCTTCTGATCCAGCTCTCTGCTATGGCCTAGGAAAGCAGAAGACGGCCCAAGTTCTTGGGCCCCTGCACCCGCAAGGGAGACCCGTGAGAAGCTCCTGGCTCCTGCCTTTGGATCGGCGCAGCTCCCACCTTTGCAGCCATCTAGGGGGTGAACCAGCAGATGGAAGACCTCTCTCTCTGTTTCTACCTCTCTCTATAACTCTATCTTTCAAATAAATAAAGTAAATCTTAAAAAAAAAAAAAAAAAAAAGGCACAGTTACAGAGAAAGAGGGAGAGACAGAGAGAGATCTTCGATCCACTGGTTTTCTCCCCAAATGGCCCCAACAGCCAGGGCTGCACCAGGCTGAAGCCAGGAGCCAGGAGCTTCATCTGGGTCTCCCACGTGGATGGCAGGGGCCCAAACACCTGGGCCATCTTCCATTGCTTTCCCAGGCCATTAGCAGAGAGTTGGATAGGAAGTGGAGCAGTCAGGACATGAATCAGTGCCCATATGGGATGCTGGCATTGCAGGCGGTGGTTTTACCAGCTACACCACAGCACCAGGCCGCAGATCTAATCCTTTAAGTTGATTGTCAGGTTCTCCTCTCCAAATATGCCCGAGTAGCAGGTTCATTCTTTGCCAAATTCTCCCGAAGGGGTCACTGGGCTTCATTCAACACACTGAGGATGCAGGGCTGGTTTTTTTTTTCTCCTACAATCTCGAACCACAGACAGCCATAGGCTTGCTGCTGAATTTTGCAAGGAGAGGAGCAGTGGAGGAACTATTTCAGTCTTCAGCGGTGAGGAGTGGGTGTCCTCCTGGGCAGCTGATGGGTGCAGCCTGTGGATTTCCCCCACAGAAAAGACAGCAGCAGGGCTCCCACGGCTGGTTGCTGCAGGGCGGGGCGGGGCGGCAGAGGAAGAGTTTGGAAGGCAGGTCTGTGTGGGCTCCTGGCTTCCAGCTGGCTCCTCGGAGAAGGCTGGGCATCCAAGCACTCCCTCAGGGGCCACCAGATTCCCACAGGAGCTCTTGGAGGTGGTCACCTCCTACCACTTCAACAGGGAAATGGGAACACACACTTATCATGGGGCGGGGGCTGCTTGATGGAGAGACTCCTTCCGTCTCCCGCCTTTGCAGCCAATGGCCCGCTCCAGCCCTGGGAGCGAGCCAGGCTCCAGGTTACCAATGTGCCAGGCGTTTCCTTGGGTATCCCTCCCGTCCTCAGCTGGGAGACTCTCCAATGGTTGGGCACGCAGCTGCCCAGGGACACAAAGGTAAAGTTGTTGGAAAACGGCATGAAGCCCCAGGCACCCCACCATCCTGCTACAACTGGTGTCTCGGGTCCCAGCAAACAGCTCACCACCATGTCAAGCCTGAAACCCTCGTCTAGTATTCCAATAAAAGAGGAGGAAAAATCCAAATGGCACCCCTGAAGCAGGAGCTGCGCTGAGGCTAGCCCCAGCAGTGCCAGCTCTCCACAGCCTGGGAATGGCACCTCCCCAGCCCACATTCCCTCCCTCCGGGGGGGAGGCAGCCCCCAGAATTATGCAAATTCGCCCATTTCAGTAGGAGGCTGCAGTGCAAGATTAGAAAAAGATCTCAGCATTCCTTCTGATGCAAGTCATGATAAAATATCTTTGCCTCTGCAAACTTCTGCACTACATTCGTGGCTGCAATTTGCAAGACTGAAGCTGTCAGATACACTCCCACCCCATTTCACAAGGAATCTGAGGAATCAGGGTGGCCAAATCCACTGTATTGACTATTTTAGCTCAAAATGTCCCTTATACTTGCATAGCAAGTCGCTCGTGCCTTACCTTGAAGTGACAGAATTCCAGAAAAAAAAAAAAAGTAGTCTAAATTTTTTCCCCTATATCTTGTAATCAAATGAATGCTATGCCAGAAAAAAAGGAACCGTGTATAGAAAAGTGTTTGCATTTCAACACGGTCCATTGGCCAGGGTTGCCGGGCAGAAAGGAAAAAAGTCACAGCCTTCACACACACACACACACGGTAAGTTAACATACATAACTTTCTATTTTCTTTTCTCTCTCTTTCCAGTGCTGTGTAACCTGACCTCAGCAGAAGCAATGTGATATTTAAACCGATTCGGAGGAGACCCGGGTCTCACAGGACCTCAGCTAGCTGCAGGATTCCCTTGGGTTTCCTGTCAAAGTCCCTTCCCCCGGAGGGAAGGGGACGTTGGCTGCTCAAGATATATTATAGCTGGGCCGGGTGATCAATCAAGCCTTGCGGACGCACGGGCTGCGTGCATTGCCAAACTCCTTGGCCCCGGACCTTTGGGCTTCGGTATCGGCTCTGCGAAACCATGTGCCCGGGCGCGCGGAGCGTGACCTGGCGGGCGGACACACACGGCGAGGCGACACTTTCTGCCGCCTCCATTCCCATCCGCAGTGCACTGTGTGTGTGTGTGTGTGTCCCCGGCCGGGAGCGGGCGGCACAGGCAGAGGGGAAAACGGGCTCTCGGCGTGTGTTTCCCAGCGAGCCACCAGGGCTCTCGGGAACCGGGCTCACCTCGCATCGCTGAGCGAAGGCACCTACCCCGCGCCCCCAAGCCATCACCCCCCGGGGCCCGGTCCGAGCAGCCGGGCCGGCCACTCGCTCGCTGCTCCGTCCACAAAGGCGGACCCCCAAAGCCCGCGTCTGCTGGCGCAAAAGGAGCAGTAAGGACCACCCCAACAGTCGCTTCCCCCTCCCGGAACTCCCAGGAAAGTTTCCCTGTCTCCAAGAGCGCGATTCTCGAATGAATCGGTAACAGCCCTCCGCCTCCCGGGTCCTCCCCGCTTTGCGTCCCCACCTCGGGGCACCGCCACCCCGGGCGCACGCGGTCAGGACGCCCCCCACCCGCCCCGGGCGGCCGCCTGTCACCCCGGGGAACGCCGACAGAGGGTCGCGCGCTCCGCGGCCGCCGCGCTCCTCCGACCTCCTCGGTGCGGCCACGTTAGCCATGGGAGACACACACAAAAAGAGGCCGCCTCTGCAGCACGTTGTCGGGGCTCACCTCGGGGCTGCGCTCCCGGGGCCTCGCCGTCGGTCGCCGCGCCGCCCTCCGCCGCGGAGCATTGTTCGGAGAGGAGCGGCGCGCGGTGCGTGCCCGGCCGCGGGCGGGTGTCTTCTGCCTGGGCCCCGCGGCCGGCTGGCAGCTGCGCGCGCGGCTCCGCCCCCTCAGCCTCCGGTTACGCCGCCCGGCCCGGCCCCCGCCGCCCCGCCGCAGTCCCCGCGCCCGGCGCCCCTCCGCGCCCGCGCGCCTGCCGCCGCCGCCGCCTCCCCGGCGGGCGCTCCCGCCACCCCGCGCGCCCGGCCCGCCCTCCCGCTCCGACAGCGAGGCTCCGCCCCAGCCCGAGCGCAGGAGCCGGCGGACCCCCGCGCCCTGCCCCGCAGGCGCCCCTGCCCCGTGGGGGCTCCGCGCGGCCGTGCGGGCGCGAGCTGCGGCGCGTGCAGGCTTCCCTTTGCCACAGGGTGCTCGCTTGGGGGTGGGTGCCCTGCAGCCCTCAGGGAAGGAGAAGCAGGGGTAGATTCCTGAGCGCACCATTGAGGCCGGCGGCATGGGCACTTGGGGTGCCGGTTGCTGTCACCCCCGGACGGATGGTGGCGCGGGAGAGACCTGGGCTTTCTGCAAATCGCTCAGCCTTTGAGTTGGAGCTTTCTAGAGGGAGAATGCAAGGATCGGGCTGCTGAGAGCTGGCCTTCCAGCTTGCTGGAACATCCAGGCCCTCCGCAGGCCACTGCACCTGAGTTTGCACGGTTTCCAGTGAGTCATCCCCTGAGTTAGTCCTGGGGCTACAGATTTCTTCACTCAGTGTAATGACAGCCGCGATCCAGTCACGGCGCTCCCTCCCCTTCCATCTGCTGCCCGGGACCCGTGCACCTTGACCCGGGCGTTCCTTCAGGGAGCCTGCGCCGAGGTCACCTCCCAGGGCTCTGCATGGGTGGGGAAAAATCGGCCAAGCGGAACAGGAAGAAGACCCCCCCGGAAAAACTCCCTTGTGGCCTTCTCTGTCCCCCTCCCCCGAGAAGCAGTTTATGGTCCATTCCACTTCCGGTCCTCTGCCGGCCAGCCCGTGCCAGCCTGGGAGCCCCTACTACTGACAGAGGAAGGGGGTCCCTTAAGGTTCCTGGGTTTTCCTCCATGTTCCCAAGTCTCCCGTTTCTCCTAAGAGGATGAGTAGAATTGAGGAGTGGGGTAGGGACATTTGGAGGGACAGGAATAGAACCAACATTCATTACATGCTCACCTGGGTCAAGCAACCCCAATGGAGAAGGGACCACCGTTATCCCCAGTTTACAGAGAGGAAAACAGAGGCTCCGAAGGCCACGTCAGTTTCAAGGCTCCGCAGTTGATAAAGCGGTCATCCCAGCGTTGGGACCCAGAGCTGTGTGACCCCACAGGCAGTCCCACCCTCCCAGGCTGCCCTCCCTGAGGGCTGGTAGTCAGCCCTATCTTTCTTCCCGAAGTGGAGGGAGATCACTTGAACACATAGGAAGGAAGCCTCCGCTTAACTCGGTTAGCATCCACCAGAGCTGAGCCTTGGGCCGGCTCAATTAGAGACCCAGGAGGGGAAGGTGTTTTGAGAAGTTCCTGCCTGCCAGGTTCCAGGCCAGATGTTTGGGTTCATCCCCAGTAGAGCCCACTGTAAGGGAGACGCTGGCCCCATATGGTAAATAAAGGCTCCACTGAGTACACACGAGGCACTTCCTGTACACTTTATGTTTTTCTCTTTACCTAATTTCTTTTTGCTACACTAACAGGCAAAAGAATAGAATTATAAGAAGCAACCGCCATGGTGTGACAAGATCCTCTAGTGGTTCTGTGGCTTGGGACAGCTGTCCAAGGGTTCATTCAGTGTTAGTAACCTGTGTCCTCCAGTGATTTGCTGTGCTCACACACAAAATAAACGCATTATACTGTAGCTGCTGACATGCAAGGTGCATCGTTTTATGCCAGCAACATGTTCCTAAAGATGGCTTCATCTTGCCTAATGAAAGGAATCAAAAAAATACTTCAAAAGAGCCAGTTGGGTGCACACGAAACTCCATACTCTCACACACTGCTCCACCATTGCCTGTTAAGTAAGTGGCTTCCTCAGCCTAGCTACAGTCAGCTCATGCATTTCATAAACAATTCTGCTTGAACTTCCAGACTGCACCCCGCAATGCAGTGCCATTTGTGTACACACAGCATTCTGCTTCTAGCTCTTATCAGTCCATTTTCATGATGTTTTTAACCACAGAGTTTGGGCTGCGGAATACAGACCAGAGCATGAAGAAGAGCTGTTTGCTTTAATATGTTCGTCCACAGACTCCCTTCTGCGCGAGGGAAATTTTAGGAAGTTAGGAGAAGACATGGAAACAGAGTGCTTTGGTGAATGTAAAGAAGTTTGGAATTTGGGGCCAGTGTTGTGGCACAGTAAGTTAAGCCTCCACCTGCAGTGCCAGCAACCCATATGGGCACCGATTTGTGTCCTGGCTGCTCCTCTTCCCCTCCAGCTCTCTGCTTATTGCCTGGGAAAGCAGTGGAAGATGGACCAAGTGCTTGGGCCCCTGCACCCACATGGGAGACCCAGAAAAAAGCTCCTGGCTCCTGACTTTGGATCAGCTCAGCTCCAGCTGTTGCGGACATTTGGGGAGTGAACCAGCAGATGGAAGACCTTTCTCTCTGTCTCTTCCTCTGTCTGTAACCCTACCTTTCAAATAAAAAATAATTTTAAAAATAAAAAAAAGAAGTCTGGAATTAGAAAAGCAAAAGTGTAAAATTAGAAAGTGGGTACCATTGAATTCTATCACAGAAGTGCAAGCTGGCCAAACAACACGGAGGTTGGGTGAAAGACATCTCATACGTGATATTGCTCCAGCGGGAGAAAAGAGAGACGATTCTTACCTTCAAGTGAGAAAGGTGTTCAGTTTGAGTCAATGAATATTGACTCAGTGAATATTGAGTGGCCTTTGACTTATGAAGCTCTGCATGAGACACCGGAGGGAAAGCAAAGAAAGATGGGTAAGACAGAAAAATGTAAGCTCTGAGAGAGGAAGATAAGCCCGGGGCGGTGGGGGCTCAAAGGAAAAACACAAAAAGACACACAGACAAACAGGTTTCATGGAGGAAGGAGACTTGGAAGAATGAGAAAGATTTCTATTTGTGGACAATGGGGACTTTCCAGACGGAGAGCGTGGTGGCCACACAGGAATGGACGTGGGAGCGGGAGAGACGACTTTTTCAGTCTGCCTGGAGCGTGGATATTGGAGACGCGCCTGGGAATGTGGTGAGGCACTGCCTGGGAAGCGTTTGGTTTCTAGGTGAGCCAACAAGAACGTGTTATTTCGGAGTGGCAGAATGACATCATTCGGTGAGTTCTTCCTTAGCTGTCTGTGGATCTTGTATCCCAGAGACGACTGGGAAGTGGGGAGAGAGATTGGAGCTAAGGAGCCTGGCTTGCAGTTCCCATACATGCTGCAGATGGGAGTAGGGGCCTTTGATCAGGGGGACAGCAGAGGAAACAGGGTGGACAGTCAGTGTGCAATGGGCTTGAGAGATGGGGAGCTGGCTCCGCTCTCTCCCTACGCCCGATCACCTGCTGACTAACCATGGCTTATGCTACAGAGTAGCTCCTCTGCACGGGGAGCTGCATACTAAACACTGTACGTCACTTTTCTCTTTGAAACTTCGCAGAGATCCTGAGGCAGGTGCTGCTGTTAAGGAAGGAATCCCTGACAATGGACAGAATGAATCTTAACGCCTGGAGCCTGGTGGACTGGTGGTGACATGAGTCCCCACAAGAAAGCCAGAGGATTCCCTCTTTGGCCTTCTGGAGCCAAGTTCTCCTGCCAGAAGAGGTGTTTGGGGGACAGCGCTGTACCATAACAGGTAAAGCTGCCGCCTGCCGTGCTGCCATCCCATATGGACGCAGGTTCAGGTCCCGGCTGCTCTACTTCCAATCCAGCTCTCTGCTATGGCCTGGGAAAGCTGTGGAAGATGGCCCAACTCCTTGGGCCCCTGCACCCATGTGGGAGACCCGGAAGAAGCTCTTGGCTCCTGGCTTCGGATAGATACAGCTCCAGCTGTTGAGGCCAATTGAGGAGTGAACCAGCAGATGGAAGACCTCTCTCTCTCTCTCTGCCTCTCCTTCTCTCTCTCTCTCTCTCTCTCTCTGTGTAACTCTAACTTTAAAATAAATAAATAAATCTTAAAGAAAAAAAAGGAAGTGGTGTTTGGAGCCCCAGGGGTGAATGAAAGAGGCTAGAGGAACATTGAGAAGAAGTAGCAAAAATGATAGAGAGAGGTGAGGATTAGGGGGCACAGTCACCTAGAAGGTCATGGTGGAAAGGACCTTGGCCCCTTCTCTTCCAGGGTATTCCATTTCCAGGTAAGTCTGAAAAGAGGACTCTTGGAGAGACACACAGCCAGGGACAGGGGTGACAGCAGGGAATTCCATGGGAGAGAAGCTTGAACTCCGGGCTGCTTTCTTTGTAGCAGCATGGGGTTGCCAGGGACTCCATGAAAGAAACAAACAGGATGGGAAGTGTGAGCTGGACAGGGAGGCTAGTGGGAAGAGGAGCATTTCCCACAGGCAGGAGAGAGGGTGCTGCACCTGGAAACCAGGGGCACTGCTCCCCAAGACTACACTTGCAGCTGGGCCTGCCCTGATGGCATTGGGGTCCCCAAACCGCCATGGAGGAGCTTGGGAGTACAGTAAGGACAGAGGGCAAAAGATGGGCTGAAAATTTGCCATGAAGGTAGCCTTCTCCAGCAAGCACCAAGGGCCCCACTCTGCCTTTCTTTCCTCCCAGAGCAATAACCAGCTCTTTTTGCTGCCAACCCAAAGCGATCTCAAGCGGAGACTCAAGGTCTCATCCGTCAGTCCCATCCAGTGACTGTGGACCACGTCCTTGTGTTGCAAGTTTTTTTTTAAAAATCTTATCCAACATCTCATTCTTCCCCAAATTTATTCCTAGGTAGCACTAGGCAGGATAGAGCCTTCTAAATAATTTACAGTATCACCGCCCAAGCACTGAAGGTTTTTTTTATTCCTGCCCAGACTGAAAGGTATTATTTAAATAACAATGGCAGGATGTCTGAATCTCAAACCGGGGACATCTCAGAGTTTCAAGATGTGTATAGTCTTTGTGCCCAAGCCCCACAGAGCTGAGATGTGAACATTAAAGAAGGAAAACATTTCTTTCTTTTGTAGGTATAGTTATAGCGAGGTGTGAATTC